GTTATCCGATGATCAAAAATTTACTACGTATTAAGTTAATTTTGAATCTAGATTAAAAACAAGAGCGAATGGCGAGATATAATTATCATCATATCTTTAAATTCCACAAATGTGTATATTAAATACTGAAATATCGAATGTTGCTAGAGTATCTTTTGGAATATTACGTGCTATTTTTTCGGTAATATGCGACATAAACACACAAATATTTACATATCATATGAAATTACAAGACGCGAATCTTGTTATCTTTATTGGTGATTCTCGTTTGTCGCGTTAGATAGGAAAAGCAATCAAAAATCCGAAAAGGAATTTACATATACTTTGATGGAAGCTTTATTCATAATATTCCCAATATCGAAGTGCAGTACGCCATTTTGCATGAAAATTTATCTCACTGCATATTGTACGCTGTTCACGTGATACAGTGAAATAAAGTCCATGTGTTAAACACTTTGTGTACTGGAAAGCTCGACTAAATAGGAAAAGTTTACAGGGCACCAGATCCATAATTTTTGAATCATAAAACCCATACCGCAGTGCCGATGATTTTCTGCGGTAATATTTATTTTAATAATATATATACCGATACTGTTATATAATAATAAATATTACCGCGGAAAATCATCGATCTGTTTATCCTGTACTCGTCTAACAATAGAACAATAAAATCATTGGTTTTATTAAACTGAAATTTTATTATTTGCTTCAAAAATTTACAAATTAAAAGAGAAAGAACGTGTTAACCAACGTTTAACCCCCGTATATTATTAGAATTTCATTATATATAGATATTATTCTTTGTAGAATCTTGCAAATGTCATACGCAAATTTTAAAGAATTTGACCCGTTAATAATATTGATTCATCTGCTCACAACTTATAAATGTTCACATTTGAATTAAAATAAAAACATTATGCAAAATGAATCCTTTTTTTTGTTTTTTTTTTTTGTTTTTTGTTTTTTTTTTTTTCTTTTTTAGAATCTTTAGTTTTCTATTTAATCCGATTATTTAAAATTAGTAATAAAATAATGAAATATATTTAAATTGTTTGTACAAATAATATTAATTCATTTACCTACCCAACAAAGATTAATCAAAATAAATCAATTAGTCTATATCAGTAATTATATTGTCCCCTTTAAGTAATATTTTTTTTTGTTCTAATGAAGCCATCAATACTCCCAAATGACCCTTATATATGGTGCTGATGCGAATTCAAATTGTTTCGCGAAATATTCTTTGCAATTGTCTTCCAAAAACCTTGAAATAATTGATTATTAAAAATAAATATATGAATATATTATATATATTATTATATTAATTATTAAAATTTTTACCTTGCTAATTCGTTAAATATTTGTTCTAAGCTTTCTGCTTTTTGTTCTTTCATTTGTACTGCATGAACTAAATCTGGGATTTTGACTTGTTAAAATAATAATAATAATATATTAGTTTGTAAATTTATTTCATTTTAC